AAGAAGGAGGCTGTGGGTCAAAAATTAGGGAGGGCATCAGGCCCCTAAAACAGACAAAAGTGGGAGGTTGGCTCACTGCTATTGTAGGTTTAATCCTCAGTAGAAAACAACTAAGCAGCCACCCGATGGGTCAGTACCTTCCTGGAGACAGAGGAGAGCAGAGGACAATTCCAGCTCCAACTCCCATTCTACAAACACTGTTTCAGCCACACACTCTAGTGTTTACCAACATGTGGTCTCATATTTGGTTTCATAGTATCTGACGTTGTCCTTGCTTCTACCTAAATGTGCCCTGTTTCTCTAAGCCTCAAGATGATCGTCTCCATATCCTGCCTTTTCCACATACATATGAACCACCAAGCATGATGCAAAGGAAGTTCAGAGGAACAAACACTAGGAAAAGGGGACCTCTAGGCTGAGGAGTTGAGGATCCTGGGAGCCTACCTTGCTAATGCCAAAGAAGAGAGGTTAAAGGGTTATGGCCCTCCCAGACTTACTCCTCCAGGCTCACATCCCTATTCGGTTGTTTCCCATCTTTCTATGCCTTCCTCATCAACTAAAAGCTGAGACTCCCAAAGGAAGAAAATAACCTGGGAGGTTGCCTGGGTAGATGTAGGAGAGAAAAGGCCCACTGAGGCAAGCTCACCTTCCCTCCCTGAATCTTTGAGACAAATTCAGGCCAGGGGTGTCCCTCCCCAAAGGCTGGGCTGCCTTGGGCTCCCACCCCAAGCTACTAACCTTACTAGAGAGCCTGTTTGCCTTTAGAGACGATCCTCTGGTGCATGGTGCAAAAGAAAATTAAGTAGTGAACAGGCCAAGTGGATGCAGGTATCTCCCCACCTTCCCTCCCCACTGGCCTCAGCTTGGGCCTTGGAGATTCACAGCATCTCCTAGTGCCCCAAACCAACTCAGTCCTCTCCATCTGAATTGGGAGGGGCAGTCTCCCTGCTGAGGCTTTTAGATGAAAATGAGGATGAAAATGAAGGTGAGCAGCTCTACTGTGTGATAACCTAGTAAAGGCAGTCCCTTTGTAAAAGAAAAAGGAACAATCCTTGAGGATAACTATCCAGAGGTTCAAGGGACAGAGCTAGAGCAATTGGTATCCAGAGTGAGGCAGGACCAAAAGGAGCAACTGAGTAAGTAGGCTGCAACCCAGAGGCCAGGACTAAGCTGTGGTAACAACTTCAGAGATGAGAGGTTCTTCCAGAGGAGAAGGACTTTCTGAGAGTCCCCTAAGCTTGTTCCAGGCAAGGTCAAGGCTACTAACTCTGACCCTAACCTATCATCTTCAGGTTAGCAGGGGAAGTCCCTACAGGTGCCAGACCAAGCTGTGGGAGAAAGCTGTTCACCAGTTCTTACACAGTTCACTTATTGAGACCTTGTGGAAGGACAAAATATCCAACAGAGTGTCCTGGAATGAAAAGCCAAGTTGTAATCTATATTCCACCCCTAATTAGCTTTGAAACCTGGGGGGAAACTACTTAACCTTTCAGAGCTTTAATTTCCTACTCTGAAAGTGAGAATTTTGATGCCTGCCTCACCAACATAAACTTTTCTTGTCCAAAACTCCTAAACCTGTTTCCCTTCTTCTGTTCTCTAATTCCATGAAGGGTACTACATCCATTCAGTCACCTAAGCTAGAAACACAGGTGCCATCCTAGACTCATCCCTCTTCTCACCCCTCAGAGCCAGTTACCAAATTAGTCCTCTCCTTTCCATCCCAAGACCTTGTTGCCTCCCCTAGTGGTCTACTGCAATGACTTCCAAACTCCCGTTGTCTCTCCCTTTTTTCTTTTATATAGACCATATAAAAGAAAACATATTATTTCTAAAATGCAAATCTGACCAATTCCCTTCCTTGTAGAAACTCTTTTGCAGTTTGCCATCTTCTAAAGGGTAATGGCCAAAGCCCCTAGCCATTCAGAGCCCTTCATCATTCTATCCTCATCCGCTACCCCTCCGCATCAACACATATCCAGTGTTCTAACCACAAATATATCAGATTCTCTTGAACCTCCATGCCTCTGCACATAATGATTCCTCAGTCTAGAATACACTTTCTCCTTTTCCTGAACATAGGATGTTAGCACAAATGTCATCTCTTTTGTGAAGTGTTCCACCCAAATACACACTGTTAGTCACTCCCTCCTCAACACCCCATAGCACTTAGCAAATTGTTCCATAATTATTTATGTACTTTCCCAGACCAGACTGTAATTCTTAATGGATGGGATTATATCTTATCATTTATGAATCCCCATGCCCAGCAGAGCCTGGCACAGAGTAGGTATCAATGTTTGTCGAAGGAGTAAAGGAAGTGAGGACTCCACTGAATAACAAATGTGAAAGTGCACAGTCTAGGCAAAAGTGCTATGAGACCATGGGGGCGGTGTTACCCATTTTTAGAGTCAGCAAACCCCAAACAGAGATAGGAAGAAAGGTATGGGGAGTTAGGCTGACCTTAAGAAGGAGTCTCAGGCTGGGAAAGGACAGGACAAGGAAAAGATGCCCCACTGCACACACCTGCACGCTGACCAAGCAGCAGCCAGCAGGCAGAAGCCAAGGTAAAGGCAGCAGAAAGGGAAGGAAGGGAAGAAAGAAAGAGAAGAGAGACAGCTGATACCCCAAGCTCTCTGAATGCCCAGGCATCACAGTGGTGCTGTCAGAAGGGGGTGGGTCAGGGTAGGACTCCGTCTGGAGGAAATAGGAAGTGCTGTGGTGGTAATAAACAGGGTGGACATGGACGGTGGTGGTGGAGGTGGTGGTGGTGGTGATGGTGGTGGTGGTGGTGGTGGTGGTGGTGGTGGTAGAGGAGCAGGAAGAAGAAGCAGAGGCAGATGGAGAGCTGGTCCCGTGGCCTTCAGAACTGAAAGACTGTCCAGATGAAAGGCTGCGCATTCGCCGCAGAGATACCCGGCTTGTCAAGAAGTGGCCAGCCTCGCCCTCTACCAACCTCTGAGATCCCAGGCCATGCTGTGGCTCCGTCAGGCGTTGCCGGACACTGCTCTGCAGGCTGGGGGCTGCAATGAGAATGAAGACAGTGTCAGGAAGGGCCAGCCTACTTTAGGCTGGCAGGCAAGCAGGTTTGCCCATGGAGAAATGCTTGCTGAAAACCACTCTGGGTTTTTGATGCCCAATCTGAAGAATGGGGCACCTACTCCCAAAAACCTCCCACCAGAGGTCCTAAAACAAAGGAGAAATTGAAGATGAGATGCCCAGGTCAGTTTTAGTAATACCAATGGAAGGAGACCTAGGGCCAACATTACTATAAAGGGAGATGGCAAGGCAGTTAGTGGGAGGACACAGGCAGGACAGGGTAGGATTAGGGTTTGGGGCAAGGTTCGGGAGAGCACTAAGAACCAGCCATTTTAGAAAGCCAACCTTAGAAAATAATTCACAGTTTATACAAGGATTTATACACAAACACCTTCATCACATCACCATTAATAATTGCATGAAAACAAACATAAAGATGGAACAATAGGAAAATAATAATATATCTAGTTGCTAGAAGACTATATAGCTATTAAAAATGCTGTTTATGAAAAGATTTTGAAAGCACAGCAAAATGCCTATTAAAATGTTCAGGGAAAACAAAAGGATACAAAATTTTATGTAAAAAAAAATACCTTGAGCTATGGAATAAAAAAGACTAGAGCTTGAAACCAGGCCTTTCCACATCTAGCTGTGACCTTGAGCAACTTATTTCCCTATTTTAATGCCTAATTTATTAAATCCTGAAAGGTTGTCATGAGGCTTCAAGATAACGCAGTTCATGGCGCTCGATAAATGATAGTGGTTATCATTATCTTGACCATGTAAAAAATTATTTTAAAATTTCACAGACAGAAGACTAAAAGAAAAAGGTACTCAAATATAACTGTCTATAAATGTCTTTTTTATGCTCATATTTACTCTTTTTCCTTGACGAATTTCCTCTAAAAAGCATGTAAACAACAAAGAACCAGCTCTTAGATTACTACAGAAAATCAGTCTTTTGAAAGATGATGGCCATCATGCCCAGTGAAGGGCTACGTGGGCACCAGGTAACTGAGGAATGTGCTAGTAGAGCATTGCTCTTGGGCTCACTTCAAGCCCCAGCTGAAAACAGAATTCACACTTTTGTTTTTTCTCCTCTACCCTGAGAGATGGGCCTCCCTGCCTTCTCCTTAAAAGTGGGAGAAGGGGCCAGGTTACGAGGGTGGCAGAAGCCTTGGCAGGGCCACCAGGGAGAGAATACAGTCTCATGGTGATGGAGAGCTGGGGAGGCAGGGCTTCCATGGCTGGTGGCTTTCAAGGCATGAAAGCAGGGTGGAAGAGGAAGAGAAAGCATGGAATAGGGAGGGGAAAAGGGAGAAAGAAGGGAGAAACATGAGAAAGAAAAAGAAGGGGAGGACTTTTCCTTCCCTCTTTCCATCCTAGCTCATTGGAAGAAGGGCCACCAGGACATCTATCTAGCTGGGCTGAAAGGAGAAGCCTAAGCCTTCCATTACCATGAGTGTTCTCTCTCCAGCCCTCAGCTAAGCAGGCTGATTCCTCTCCTCCCGAACCCTCCCTGCAGTTAGTAGGGACAGTGCTGAGGGAATAGAGGGAGCAGGCAGGGGAGTGAGGCAGGCAGGAGAAGGGGCCCGTGGGGTAGGAGTGTTGGTTTAGTCCCAAAAGTTGGAAAAACAAAAGCCCCAAAGGGGCTCCTCAAACCCGGATATTTCCAGAGGGACTGATCATCCGAGCCGGCGGATGTTGAGCAGAGAGAGCGGTCACTGAACCTACGCCCCATCAGCCAGGCAGCATCTAGGGTCCAACAGCCAGGCCAAAAGGAGAAGAGAATCTGATTTATGGAGGGCTTCAGCCTGCCCACCAACGGGATAAGGGAAGGACCAAGGAGCAAGGGTTGGCTAGCTCAGAGCTAATGAAGGTCCCTCCCAACCCAGGGAGCACAAGAAGCTTTAGATCAGTGTGTCAGGATCAAGCTCTGCCTGCCAGTGATCCTAACCCTGTTGAGCCTTTGAGTAAAAGTCCTAACAGATATCAGACCTGGAAGACAAAAAGGCTTGGCCAGAGGCAAAGAAAGTATCGTTGAAGAAATTTACAAATCAGTTCTGTCTGGAGTTGGAATCCAGACTGATTAAAGAATCTAGCTTTCTGAAAGTGAGCCCCTAACACAGCCCCAGCTTTTGCCATCCCTTCTGCACCCATGGGATATGGGCCCAAGACAATAGCTTTTCCATAAGGCTTTAGTCTATTTATCCAAAACAGCCTCTAATCCAGAGAAAACCTCAACTGGGCCAGTAAGGGATAAATCCCTTCATTCACTGAAGAATTCCCACAGAGTGTTGTTTCTTTCGACTTTGCTCTACTCAGCTCTTATCGCTCACAGGGGAGGAAAAGGGGAGACCCAGGACAGAGTGTGGGGAGGTCCAAGAGTTCAGGTGAAAAGCCAGACAAGAGACCCCTCCTGGACAGGAACATCTTTCAGGCTTGGAGGATTTAGAGCTATATCACTTTAAGGGACTATTGCTTTCTGGGGTCTCACACATACACACATACACACACACACACACACACACACACACACACACACAAAACAGAGAGAAAGAGACATCATTCCGTTCACCTACTTGAGCAATTAAGAATAAGGAATATAAAATAAAAAAATAAGTAAATAAAAGCAATAAAATGAATCAAATCAGTCAAAATAAATGCCATTTTTTACATCATGAACCACTAACGAGGTTATTTTTATAAAGGTAGATGGGTGGGGGATGGGGTGGTGAATGAAGGGATTTAAAAAACACAGAGTGAAGAAAGACACACTTAACACAATAGACCCAGAAGGGCAGACAGAGCGTATAGCAAGGAAAACCACTGAAAGGACAACTATAAAGGAATATCCTGATGCAAATTTTGTGCTTTATTAATCGAGATCATGAGTTGAACTATCTTCCTTGGTATTTGCCCCATATGCTGTTGAAGCACAGCAGTGGCCAATGACTTCTTGACCTGCCCATCAAAGGTTCCTTCCCTCATCCCCACCCAAGAGGTCACCTACACTGCATGGACAAGGGTGACACAATCTCCTCATCCATGTCGTCCACGTCATCAGTCATGATGAAGTGAGCAGGGTTGGGGCGTGTACTGCCCATCCAGCTGGGGTCTATGTTGAGGGCAGCCACCAGTGAGTGGATGCCAGGGTTATTGACAATCTGGAAGCCACAGAGGATCTCAATCTGCTGCCAGCGGTGCAGGCGCTCCCGCAGTGCTGCCGTCACCTCACTCAGAGCTTGCCTAAAGACAGATGAAAGAGAATTGCAGGCATGGGCTGGGTGTGA